CCCCAAAACCCCAAAACCCCAAAACCCCAGAGATTGGTTGTATTATTGAAACATCTTCATTATTTTCTTGGATTGTTTTTGCATCCCTTTTGCATAATATGGGTGAGTAATCCAAGTTCTCCAGCTGGTTCACAATCAATCTTACAAAGAGGACATCTAATAGCATTCTTCTTGGGCAGGTTGCAGCCTTCTTCTTCATGCTGTTCCAAACCCTTCTTGAATACAGCCTGTTTACATCTTGTTCATTGATAAAATTCATCTTTCTTTTCACACTCATTAAGCAAGTGGTTGTTGAAATCTCCAATTTCAATAACTTGTTCGCACATGAATCAGGTAGTAAGCATGAGACATTGCTCCCAATAATGCAAATCAAGACCTTGTTCAGTGAATCCAGTCTTTTTACAGAACTGACAACTAAGATCCTCTTCTTGTGGATCTTGGGCTTGAGTACCATGTTTTTCTCTATTAGATTGACTGGTGGACTTAATCCTGCCTTCAGATTTCCTTTGCCCGAAGGTTCTCTCTACTTGAGCATGGCTTCTCTTCATCAATAACTTAACATCATCTTCATTGTCAGTGATATCTGCACCTGCATCGATACTCTGGAATCCTTGCTCCAAGATCTCAAGTTGATTCTTTTGGAGATTTCCAATATATGATCTTAAAACTTTTCCAATATTTTTGTAGATTTCAAACACCATGATGTAGGAAATCGCTCTGACATCTACAAAAGAATGAGAGCTTTATTAAAATAAAAATGGCTTAAAAGGAAGAAACCTATTTTAAACAAGTCATTAAATTTCATTCGTGTTTTCTGGTGGGAAAATTATATTTAGAAAGATCTAGAAAATGATGGAACAAAATAAAAGTCATACCTTCTTTTGGATGTTTGAATCCAGTAAGAGCATAAGAAAGAACTTCATCCAATGGGACATCTTTTGTATTCACGTCATATTTCTTGACAATTTCCTTCAGTAAATTCATTCTTCCATATATATGTCTATGGGATTTCGCTGCTGTTTCTTTAACTTGCCCTTTAGTAATCTGTTCTACTATCAGATTGACTCCTATGCATGGATGTTCGATCATGAGGAGTAATGAATTATGAGCATTATTCCTAACTTTACTATTACTATCCCCTATTTTATCCAACATCCACATGACCACTGTATTAATATGACCATTCATTTCTTTTCTAACCGCAGAAGTCACACTTGGAAAGAGGGCTGACACTAAGGTATCAGACAGATCAAACCCTGCATAAAGTACTTGTGAAATCTTATCAGATATGGCATGTGAAACAACACACATTGCTGCAGTGAAGATATCCTCTTTGGAGCAATTTCCACAAAGTGCTGATTTAGACCCGAGCTTAACTTCTCTCTCTACATCTTTTACAGCTTCTTCTCTTAATCTCCAGTCAGCTGCAAAGAGTTTCTTCATGATTGTCATTCCAAAGACTGGAAGCATTGGTTGGGCAAGAGCTAGTGTCTCTTCATCCAGATCCATAGCTTCAAGGTTGTATCGCTTAGGCTCTTCACTATCCAAAAGTTTCTCCAACTGTTTCTTCATCTCTTCATTGTTCATTATAGTAGGGATGGCTTGGTCATCGAAGTCATTAGCCTTTTGTGGACTTGAGGGTTTTATCTGAGTATCATCAAAATTATCATAAGTTTTCCTCTCCTCTCTAAAAACAAACTCTTCTCCACTTTTTGGATGAGAATATTTTTCAGTCTTGCTTTTTAAGATAATATCAGAAGTAACTGGGACTAGATTCAGTCCTTCCAGAGGTGTGCCCTTTAGCATATGTGAGTGCTCTGGTAATTTTGAGGAATAATACTCAGCTTTGCTTCCCCACATATTTTTTAGAACGCTTTCTCCCACTTTCTGGAACACAGTCTCTTTACTAAAGATTTTGTTTGGATTGGAGATGACATCTCTCATTAGTTGAATTTCTTTCTTACAGTCATTAGCTGCATCATACTTCTTCTTAGTCATATATCTCTTTCGTTTCTCTTCCAGTTGATTGAGCATTACTCCATATTTCTTCATTTGAGTGATAGCGCCTTTGATAGAAATTGCTTCTTCGTAATTCATGCTTGCAACTGCTTTATCTTTAGCGATGTATAGAGCCTTAAGTTTAGTGATGACACTAGGGTCGTACTGCATTTCATCTTCAAATCTTCCTCCAGAGGCTTCTTGAGCTGGGAGAATATTTGGCAAGGCAAATACCTCACCCAGCATATTGATAGCGATGACTCCAGCTTGGTGGAACATATTCAAATGATTGTTATAGCAACTGTTGATTCTCATTTTAAGCAAGAGGCAGGCTGAAGACATGGTCACACTTTTGAGCTCTCTTGCTTTAAAATCGCTATTTTCATTATCTGCAAATTCGACTTCACCCATATTTTGAAATTTGATGTCTGTCAGGCGCACCTTGGAGCTCAGAACTTCAGGTCCTTCTGGCATGTAATAGAAAAGAGAAATAGATGTTGGGATCTTGTACTCATGCACTAAGAACTGGATCTGGGTAACCTTTGCAATATTAGTAAATTGAAAAATAATTTCATGAGGGAAGTCACTAAATTTTGGTGTCTCCCAACCTTTATTCTGTGGATTTGTCGATAATAACTGAGTAACTGGATGCTCAGGATCCTCCCCTGATGAATAAATTATTTTGTATTTTAGCTTATAACTACCGGTTAGAGGCGCTTTTCTTTTTGATTCTTCCATTTTTCAATTATATTATAAATGCTTGGGGTTTTGGGGTTTTGGGGTTTTGGGG